CGACGGGTAGTGCTGAAGACTGCTTGGTTGAAGGGCTCGAGGGGAGGCTCCTCCTTGATGCCTGCCTTCTTCATCAGCGTCTGGAGGGAGGAAGCGAGGAAGGGAGAGGAGGGAGAAGGCGCCCAGGTCACCGATAAGTCCTCTGGGAGAGAAAGGAGAGGTCCGAGGCAAAACCAGGCAGCCATGCTGGAGGCAGGGAGAGGAGCCCCAAGCTCTTACCTTGTTGCCGAGCAGGAGCATTTCCGCTATCAGGGTGGCGTCGTTCGAGGCGAAAATTGGCGCCACCCACGGGATGGGCCCACAAATCGCGATGACGGGGGGATAGTTCCGTCTCTGAAACTCCTCAAGAATAAGGCTAATAAGCAGGGTAGAAATTTAAGAAAAGGAGGGAAAGGAGATCAAGTCAATAACAGGCTTCCTTGCCACGGTGCGTCGTGCAGGCCGACGGAAACAAGCCACCGATAAGCTCCTTGCTCCTCCTCATCTTCCTCCGTCCTTCTTCCCTCCCTCCCGCTACTCCCTCCATACCGGTCAAATGTACGCCGATTCCATTTTTGCCGAAATGCGGTGGCCAGGAAGGATCTAGGATCGATCCACAAGAATATCTGGAGAAGGTTTCAAACAATGAAAAAGGGCAACAAAGAAATTGGACTCCAATTTAACCCTAAAGTACCGATACAACCATATTGGATCCTTTCCCGCCCACGGTCATTTTCCCCCTGAGCGTGTACTTGCACTTGTCCCCCCAACATTTGTTGTCGCATCCTCGAAATCACATTTACCTTCGGTAGGTTCCCAACAAGGTGTTTACGCCGCCGCCATGAGGAGATAAAATGGACCACAAAAATTACCATCATTGCGAGTAACCAACCCGCAATGGGCACTGCCACGGGCAGATAAGAATATTTTGACCTCATCCTGTTATACAAGTATCGGTGTGAATGCAAATTATTGGAGTGAGGACGCTGGTTGTGGGTCAGAAGACGTTGTTGAGGTATGCTAGCGAGGCAGCATGATGGACGGGGTGATGAAAAAGATGCGCTTGAACTTCATGTCCAATGTACCTATTTACTTCATGTCTCTTCCACCCATGTCTTCAAACAGCATTAAGAAGACTGATTCATGCCTACACGGGGTTTCTAGAGAATTTTGGAGGAAGCAGGGGGCCAGCTAAGTGGATAGTCGAATCTTTTCACGTCTTTGATAGGGGAGGTGAAGAGGGATAATCAACACAGAAGGCCGCTCGTCTTTGTGTGGGCAAAAGCCGCAATTAGCACGCAATCTACCGGTGATTCCATGCGAAGGCGAAAGGATGTGTACCTGAAGTGGCGGGACACGTGGAGGCACGCGCCACCTTCCTGTTGATGGAGTTGTCATGTGCAAGCAGGAATGCTGGATGAGAAGCAGGAAGGACACTACAGGAACAGTTCCCGTCGCCGGAAAAATGAGGAAATAAAGGGTTCCGGTCGCAAGACACTTAGGTCTATGCACGGAGCATCACAATTTATACAAACATTCATAGGTATGAGTCGCATGCGTGTGACTGCATGTCAAGAGGTGGACATAATTGTCCTCCTCCCACCGTGTGACCAGTTGAAGGCGACAAGTGCGGCCCATGTATCTTCATGTTGCTCCCTTCCTTTTCCCACTCATGAACTTGAAAATGTTCTATGAACTATTTTAAACACAGGACATTTTAAACATCGTAAGACTGTCGTTGACTCCTATCATACAAGTTCAAATCCTTTCATCCTTGCGAAAGTATCTTTCATCAGTGTGCCGAGAGACTCAGTCACAGTATTTTGAACAAAGCAAAAAAATATTTGAAAGCTCAAAATTTCCTTCTGTAGAAGTTCCCTTCCTCGAGTGCAATCATTACAATCATCAATGTTATTTTTGAAACATGGGGCTTTGTACGCTCATACTGGATTTAGATTGTGCCTTTTGGACAGATGCATAATATGTGATACGCTTGTGTCTTATTAACACACTGAGTACATTTTAAGAGCCCCTTTAGGGTTCTGAGTATAATCTTGTATCGCCTTCCCGGCTATTAAGAAAACACATAGAAAGATGATGCTTCCAGCGGAGAGGACAGTGAGAGACTTCGTCATGTATCTACCCAGCGTGCGGCTTACAATCAGCGGGCCCGTCCAGCTGCACAGGAATCCTAATATTAGAAAGAGCGCGCCTGGAAAAAGAGAAATGAAAAGATTGAAACTTAGAAAGGCCTCTGAAAATGCATGGGAAAAGGCAAGACTCTGGGAAACAGGATGCTAAGGCAGAGTGACAGTTTCATCGATTTCTGTCTACACCGCCCACCTGTGTGGGAATGCGCCCAGAATAGGGAAACGACACCCTTTGCCCTTCACCCAGGGCACCCTTTCAATCCAATAATAACACCAACATCCAGGAAATTCAAATGACTCACCGTAATCGAGTGAGATGTGTCCAAGAACGTAGTACGAGATAGACACGGCCGCGGTAGTAAAGAGACTGATTGCAGCGGTGGAAGCAGCAGCCACTGAGGACGAGGATCCCATATCTATAAGTAGGAGTTCTAAAAGACGAATATAGCAACACTTTATTGTCAGCTTTGGATATGAAAGTTGTGTTTTTACTCTATGACGGATGCGGGAAAAATCTAAAGGCTGGGCGAACTTTTGAGTGGGGAAGCTCCTTTGTGCGACTCACCCTGGCAGGTGCCGTGTCCCACACCAAAGACACAGGTGCTCAATCCCTGTGTTAGCGTATTGCATGCATTAAAAACGGGTACATTATGAGTGAAAAGGAGGAGACTGAATCGTAGAGAGGCAAGACATCGAAGGGAGAACAACGATGGGCTTGTCTGCTGATCAGCCCAATGTCGTGCCTGTGAACTACTTCACTCCCCTTACCCCTAAAGCACTGCACAAGGGGTACAGAAGCGTATTTTTAGGAGTCCAGAGCACGTCACCAGGCGAAAAAATGCGACCCTCCCGTCGCTGAAAGGATAGGAGTGAGCGAGGAACGGAAACGAGAAGAGGGAGAGAGTAAGGGAAGAAGGGATAAAAGATGTAGGAAGGAGTAGAAAGTTGAAGAAAGGAAAATTTTGAACATGAGACACCATGCAGGCATTGGACATGGTCAACCCCTCGTTCGTTTCCGTCTACCCCCCACCCTTGCCCTCCGCACCACCACAGCCCACACCCGACTTTCATTTTTCAAAATTACCTTGGCTTCACAGTCCAGTAATAGATACTGTCGGACCCAGAGGAAAAAGCTGCCGGCCCAAGATATACTTCCCAACGTAAGAATCCAGTACGTTGAAGACCCGCAAGAGATACCAAAGGGGGAGGGGAAGCCTCGTCCGCCCTGGGCCGCCCCCATGGGGAGGAAGGAAGGAAGTGCAGTGAGAAATATATCGGAGATGAGCATCTCTTCTATTTCCAGCATCAGTTATCTCGCAAAATATCAGGAAGCTCACGACTGTGCACTAAACCTCCGCCCCCTTCCCCTCTCCTTTCCTCTCCCACCTGCACCATTTCCGTCAACGCGACACCCAAGAAGCATACAGCCAGAATCATGGGCTTCCACAGATTAGCTTCCTTTTTTCCTTGAACGGCCATGCGTACGTCCGCTGGTGGGGACAGCAATTTGTCCTTGTCCTTGCTAAGAGGAAAAGGAACAGATGCGCATAGACGTGGAGTCAGAGAAAAGTAAAAGAGTAAGCGCGTCATCTTTATCATGACTTCGTGACCCCAGAAACAAAGATATAAAGTATAAGAAGAATGTGGGATAGATACACGAATTCAAACACATCAGCAACGACGGCAATTCCCTCCCAAATCCGACCCCAGAAGAACACATTTGAGTCGCCAGGAGGCATACTCGGGAATATCTCTCCTCCGATCATCCGCATCGCACTATTCATCTGTCCTCAATCCCATTAGTCCACCTTGTCATCTCTTCTTCGACTTCCGCTGCCTCGTGGGTGGGGGAGGGCTCGGAGGGCTTGCTCGGGGAGAAGGTGTAGATGGTTTCCTGGAAAGGGGAGGCCCACACCTCGCCCTCTATCCCGTCCTCCATCCCGCCATGCAGCCCGTCCCCAACGGGAACGAGAAGGGTCTTTTTCTTCTTCTTGGACGAAGAGGAGGCGAACGAGGGTGTAGCGGAGGGAGCAGGCGCGCGATTTGTGGCGCCATAATCGGAGATACCGACGACGATTTTCTGTTAGAAATGTGCGAGGATAAGGGGGAGGTGAAGGTTGAAAAAGAAAGACAGTGCATCACTAAGGGCATGCTATAAAGTGAGCCGGAAACATTAAAAAATGAGAATATTTGTTAAGATAAGAATTAAGTACTCTTTTCAATCGCGATGGGCCTCGCCATGCTTTTCTTCTATGAAGGCAAGATCCAGGGTCACCTTCGCATTTCTCCGCCCCTTTCTTTCTGCTGTTTTTAAGTTTCCTTGCCCTGTTGTCCGCGGCCCCTGTTATCTTCTCGCCCTCCGTGACGTCAGTGTCTTACCTACATCTTCGCCCACCTACCTCGCATTTCGCTTCCTCTTTGAAGGACTCAGGCGTTGTTTTTCTCTCTCCTCTATCAGATACAATTTTGCCTCCATCCCTTTTATCATTTCTTCCTCCTTGTGAGGCACTGGATTCTGTGCAAATAAAAATATCGGCATGGGCATGAAGAAAGGGGTTTTTACTCGAGAAGGAGATGAGATTTGAGACGCGCTCAATGCACAATCTTCTCATTTCATCCCTCCATTTGTTTCTAATCCTAATTGACGAGGTAGCACTCAACATTGCAACGCTTCTTTATTGTGTTCCGACGACCATTCTTCGCCGGTCTCCTACCCTGCGCTGGTCTCCTACCCACTCACATACCTATCTGTGTTGACTTCCTACTCGGTAACATACCTGTCTGTCTAGAACACACGTGGGCCCATCCGCCCTCAGAGTGAAAAAGTTCCATGCTCTATAGAGCACGCAAGCAAAGCGGGAGAAGAAGCAGAGATAAAAACGAGAGCCGACCAGAGAATCGTGAGACATTTGAAAGATAGAGCCGTTGATGTGAAGTATCGACAGCGCGAGCCGACAGACATTCGATGAGGTTGAACGGGTGATAGGGCAAGAGAAAGAGCGGCAACCCTTGATTGGAGTTGGGATGCTAAGCAGCATTTTGTACTCATATCTTCACTTGCCCTCGCTCGGCCCTCTACGCGGCTCTTCGCAGCACCTGGAGAACCTCCATTCCTTTCTCCCCGTATCCTTTCTCTGCTCCCACCCTCATTCTTTGAGGCCATAATTGACAAACACGCTCGACGAGCATAATCCCCTGTATCCACTCCCTGCCTCTGCCTTTCAACCTCTTACCTTCTGAACCGAGTAGCAGGCAAGCAAAGCGAGGATGATAGGTAGGCCGGTGTAGATTATGGCTTCGGGAAGAACCACGTTGAGGATCGAACCAAGGACAGCGGCGATAAGGGTAACAGGCCCTATTAACAAGAAGGAATTCTTTGGGTTGGTGGGGAAAAAATGGGTTGGGAAGAGTTGGGATATTGAGGGGAATTGTTTGATGGATAAGCGCATTAAATGCAAACGAAGTTGGCAGGGCTGAAGAAGTAAAGGTGAATAATTGTGGAGTAGGCAACACACTGACCTCCCCCGTAAGCGTCTCCTTGCCATTCTTACCCAGTCTAGCAGGGCCCGATCCGTTGCAGGAAATCGCTGCGCGAGAAACTGCATTGTGGTGGCGAGCCCCCCCCC